TCAATATTTACATTTTTTTCTATTTTTTTTATTCTTTTGATTTTGTTTTACTGATGCATTGATGTCTCATAGAATCATTGCTTTCCAATTACTCAATTCTTATTTTAAATGAATTGTTTTCTTCAGTTAGCTTTTGTACCTACTTTTCCATTTGACTAATTCTACTTTTTAAGGATGTGTTATCTACAGTTAATTTTTGTCCTTCCTTTTCCAAGCTATTGACTCTTTCTTGCATACTTCTCATTTCTTTTCCCAATTTTTCTTCTACCTCTCTTATTTGATTTTTAAAATTCTTCTAGAGGTCCTCCAAGAAGGTTTTTTGGGCTTAAGACCAGTTCATATTCCCATCTGAGGTTTCGGATTTGGGTTCATTGACAATGTTATCCTCTCCTGAATTTGTGTTTTGATCTTCCCTATTACAAAGATACTTTTCTATGGTCATTGTTTTTCTATGTTGTTTCTTGCTCATGATGTTTGCCTTTTATCTGGTTTTTAAAGCTGATCTCTACTTTTGGGGCACAAGGAGCACTGCCTCATGCTTCTTGTGCTGGGGGCTATGGGCCTGGTTACTGGTTTTCTGAGGTGGGACTTGCTACTGGCTTGCTGGGATGCCTCCCTCCTTGTCCTGGTCCCCTTCAACCAAAGAAAGGGCCCTTTCCCATTTATGCCCATAGTCTCAAGGGCAAAAAGACTGCTGTATCTAGTGTTTCTTTTCAGGATTTTTCCTGGGGCAATATTCTCTGTTTTTTTCAAGTTCAGTAAGGGTGGGTGAGAGTAATTTACTGCTACTCCACCATCTTGACTCTCAGAAATCTAAATAGGTGGCTTTCAAACATTCAGTCTGTGGGCTAATAACTCCAGGAGCAATCCTATTGTGCTGCCACTGTTGTTGACACTATCACCACTACTGTAGCTGATTCAGTCACTCTATACCATTTAATTTCTAGCATCATAATTTGCTATTTATCTCCTTGCATCAAAACGTGGAAGCATTATCAAATACTTTACCTGATATATTAGTTTTGGTAAAAGGTACCCAATCTTTTTGTTGTAGTTTACTACTAAACTAGTGAATAATTCATTTATTTCCAAATAATTAACCCCTTATTATTAGAATGTTAGATTTACTAAAACATTCTTTTGGTGCTCATATACTTTACCCTCTCTAAGACCACAGGGGAGAAGAAATGAATACAGTGTTATTTATATATATATATATATATAAACCAAAACAAAACTTAAGTGTTGAAAATCTCTGAAATTTCAAAGCCAGAACTGTCAGGGAAATAAGTGATTAACTTATTGACATGGCCTCTGTAGAATGGTTTTATTTTCTGATGATCACGACTTTATCCTAAAAAAGCTTTTTCCCTATTGCTTTATCACTGAATATGCCCCCATTCCTATGGCCTATTATTCAGATCACTGAGGTCTTCTCTGGAATCTCCATTTGAGGAAATACCCATGCCAGGCATTTTCTTCTCAAACCAGATCTACACCTCACTTGGGGGCTATGTCTGCAACTTACTATCATGAAGATACATTTTCCTCCCTACCATCTCTGCTTCTCAGCTCCCTTTGTGTGTGTGTAGGCATGTGTGTATGTGTGTGTGTGTGTGTGTGTGTGTGTGTTCTCTTTCCTCTTTACAATATAAACTCCTTAAGGTCAAAGACTATCATTTTGAAGAAATTATCCCATTGCTGAAAAACATTCATTCTTCAAGTCTACCACATGCCTCTCCACTTTCCTTGGGTGACATTTGCTCTACTAAATCTTTACTTTTCTTATTATCAACAAACATTATGGATTATATGTACATACTTGAAAATGTGAGAAATTAATTGTTTCTCTCTTATATTTAATGACTATTGTTGTGTTAGGACCAAGGTTTTTCCCTTTTTCTATTTCCTCATCCAAAAACGAAGCAGTGTTGGAAATCTCTCTTAAAAATTTAACCAGGACAAGATCTAATCAGACAGCAAAAAAAAATTTTAAGTGGGCTAAGGATGTGTATTTCTGTTCATTGTGTTTGCTGAGACAGGTCTGGAGAAGTGTAGGATCTCTCTTTTGTCAGACAGTGATATGGAAATTGATGTCTTTTTGACCAAGATTTGGGTGATCCAAGCCCTGTACCCCCAGCTTCTCACTGTGATAGTCATTTTCTTACTGAATGTTAACCAATCAGAGTTGATTGCTACCTTTCAGCAACATCTACTCTTCAAAGGGCATGTAAAGTGTAAACCCACTGCCATGAGTGGTCTTTGGTTACATGATAATCATTTTATATATGCATATGCTGGCCTTAATAATAAAATGATTAAATTATTCAGTAACTATATATCTTGGAGTTGTTTATAATTGTCACAAAAAAAATGATTAGTACCACCTGTTGAACTAATGGCATTTGGGTATAAAATGAGACAAGGTTGAAGTTTCATTAGTTCGTTTCATTATTAAATAGATAATTAATTTTGCAGGTTACATGAGAGATAACAATACTAGTATCAGTTCTGCAACATTGTTGTTGATGAGATATTTCAGTTTTCTACAATTCTTCATGACCCCATTTTGCATTTTCTTGAGAAAGAAACTAGAGTGAGCTTTCCTTTCTTTTTCCAGCTCATTTATTTTACAGATGAAGAACTTAGGCAAACAGGGTTAAGGGACTTATTTAAGGTCACACAACTAGTCAGTGTCTGAGGTCCGAGTTGAACTTCAGAAGATGATTCTTCCTGACCTCAGGCCTAGAACTGTATCCACTGTGTCACCTAGCTATCTGTGATTGTACAGAGCTCTTTTGAAAAATCACCTCAAAATAAAACTACTCAACTCAAACTCTAAGCTAAAGTCTAAATTATAATTGGAAAACTCAAATAGAAGTCTCATATTTTGTTATGTTTGTTTATTTTCTCAACAAAATAACAAATCTTTGGACACAGATATTTGCCTCTGCATTTCCTGTCCATATCCTATTTTTTTTCCTGATTTTATAAGAATAGCTATCAGATTTGTAGCACTGAGTTTGTGTGATTAGAGTAAGTTAGAATACCCTAGGTTCAAGTTGGGCTAAGGGGTCACATGCTAGCACTGTGACTATGTATCTGTTATCAGACCTTTCATCATCACCAAGTAATTCTTTAAAACTACAAAGTATTTGACTGTAGTAGTTTCCTCACTAGGAACAATCTACATGAAATTTCTGATCCAATGGGATAAAAAAAAATCTTTCTAATTATGACTATAAGTGAAGAATGAAAGATTATACATTGCATTATGTGTAGAGAAAGATTTACAACCATACCAGTCATAAAGGAGATTATAAAAACAGAGAAATAGACTGTCATCACTATAAAATTTAAAAGATTTAGAACAAATCAAATCAATTTTGTTTTAATTAAAATATGAATATTGGGGAATATATTTGGCTCTAAAAACTTGGAAAATAACTACCATAACTAACATATAGCACTTTAAAATGGCAGGAAAAGAGAAAAACTTTCCATATATTACATAATTTGATTCTCTCAACAACATTGTGATAGAGGTCTTATTTCCCCTGTTTTATATATAAGGAAAATATATAAAGAATGGTTTAATGACTTGGCTAGGGTCATGAAACTAATAAAAGTCTGAGGCAGTATATAAGAACAGTTTTGTTTGTTTGTTTGTGTGTTTGTTTTTACTCCAAGTCAGGAAAAAAAAATCAGCACTATATTCACTATGCTACCTACCCACCTTCACTTTGATATACAAAATTTTAGAGGGAATTTCTGCAAACATACTAAAGTAGAACTATTCTTAAAAAGACCAAAAAAAAAGAGACTTCCCCTTCCCCCAAAAACAATAGTTATATTTAGCACAAGAAACACAAGCCACTAAGAACCACTTGAAAATCATTAATAATTACAAAAAAATCAAAATTAAAACAACCATTGCAATTCACCAAGTACACAAAGATAATAAAAGATAGGAAAATTGCTGGAATGACTGAGAGTAAACAAAAAACTGTTGATAGAAGATCTACGGATGAAATCAACCATTCTGGAAATGAATTTGAAATTATTCAAGAAAAAATTACTGACATTCATATTCTCCACTAAGAAGATATCTCAAGGATGTTATTGGTAAGAATAAAAGACCCACAAGTATAATATTCACAACAGCATCATTTGAAAAAAAATTGTTTTAAATCTGAAAATGAGAGGTTTCCAATGATTGTTTATTGGTGTAAAGGAAGTCTTATGGGAAAGTGATAATGAGTAAATAAATCAGTCAAATAATGCAAAATAACTCCAGAATTATTAAGAAATTCAAAATGGAAAGGCAACTAAATTTTGACCAAGGTGAGTAGAATATTGCCATAGTTAAATAATTCATCTTTCTTTCTGTAAATAATAGATCATATGATTCTGAGGAAAATATTTTGAGAAGTTTTTTTTTTCTTTCTCTTTAGATGATTTGAGAATAGAAGATGTTGGATAAAAATTGAATTTCAATAACTGTTTATGTTTAAAATGCAGCCAGTTCCCCAGGGTCTTCAAATAAAATCAAACAGCATGGGATAGTATAAATATTAGAAATGTCAGATTCAATACCAGTCATTTGATTTATGAATGAACAAAATAAAGTCCACAAAATGAAAACAAATGATTTATGGAACTCTCTTGGGGAAATTAGTAAGCTTAGTTTTTTAAATAAGCTTATATGACCTAAGTATTTTTGAAGTATCATTTTATTTTAAGAGTGGAGAAGTTTAACTTTAAAGGACAAAATGTAAATGGTATTTGTCCTTTTATAACATATGGCTATACTAGATACTGCCTTGCAATGGGAGAAACTATTCTGTACCATTGAGACTATCTGCTATAAATGAAAAAAAAAGTTTTCAAATTCAGTTAGGCAAGATTAAAAGTAAATTTCTATAGTAGTAGAAACTGACAAATGGAATTCTAACTAAAGAAAGGCTTATTAAAAATCTCTATTTCCGTCATGACTCTAGTTATTTTGTTAATAATTTTCTTAGTGCAGCAATGACAACCTTGTTCCTTAGGCTATATATCACAGGATTAAACATTGGAGTTACAATGGTGTAGAAAAGAGAGAGCACTTTGTCAATTTCTTCTGACTCACTGGCTTTGGGTTGCACATACATAATGGCAGCAGATCCATAGAATAAACCCACAACTATAAGGTGGGAAAAGCAAGTGGAAAATGCTTTGTATCTACTTGTGGCTGAGGGGAGCTTCAGGATTGGGGCAATGATTTTAAAGTAGGACCATAGTATGATCAGAGAGGAAGCCATGGAAAATAGCACAAGCACAACATAGACAGAAAGCTCATTCATAGAGGTGTCCCCACAGGCTAATTTCAGTAAAGGGGGAATGTCACAGAAAGCATGATTGAGTATGTTTGAACCACAAAATGGCAAAGAGAAAATCTGATATGTTTGACCTATCTGAACTGGGATCCCACCGATCCAAGAGAAAACCACCAGTTGGAAACAAAATTTGTGATTCATGATGAGAGGATAGTTCAGTGGCTTACAAATGGCCACATAGCGATCATATGCCATTACGGCCAATAGAAGGCATTCTGTGGATCCTAGAATTAGAAAGAAGCAAAGCTGTACAGCACAAGACAGCAAAGAAATACTTTTGTTATCTGACCAAAAGTTTGTTAACAGTTTGGGGAGTATGACTGAGGTGTAACAGATTTCTAAAAAGGAAAAGTTCCCAAGAAAAAAATACATGGGAGTTTGGAGGGCTGGATCAGTCTTGGTTATTGCAATGATGAGACCATTTCCAATCAGGATATTCATGTACATGATTAAAAAAACTGCAAACAGAAACCCTTGGAGTTTAGGAAAATTAGAAAATCCTACAAGTATGAATTCCATCACGATGGTATAATTTTCTCCTGCCATCT